CATATATATATATATGGGCTTTTAAAAACGGAGAATTGGACGGAAGCGTTGGAGGACATCGAGTAGCAGAGTAAGGCTTGTGTTAATCACGTATGGCAAAACGAAGGATGCACACGAGACGAAACCCTCAGGCGTTGGAACACAACGGGGACGCATCGGGACGGAAAAATGGATTCAGCGAACTCTCTGAGGACTTAACCGGCTCCGGTCGTGCATCGGCACACCCAAACGACAAAGTAAAATTTTGTTCTCGAGACGAGAATAGTACAAGTTCTTCCCGGGACGTCGCTGTCAGTCTCACGTCACTCGATGTTACCCTTCGTCGAGAGAACGGAACGGAAAGGTGGGACTTCGTCGGATATAAGGATAGGAGGGGAAAAAGGGAATACAAAGTATACTTCAAACAATTTTTGAATAGAGAGCATCGGAGGGATTCTGGGAACAGTGTGGAGATCGGGAGAGCCGATGTTTTCATTTTCAGGCTATAAGACCACAGAGACAGTACTGTGCGAACCGTACGACGAAGATATACGTGGAACGAGGCGTCCGCCAAAGAATTTTGGCTGGCCGCATTCATGCCAGGAGATTGTGTTGCATGTTAGTCACCTGGTGATGCTCCTTGGCGGCAGTCGACGGGATGGCGTTCGACAACTGACACGACAAGGCCTCTTCCTGGCTTTCGGTCTTCGCTATACACTCGGCCGCTAGTCTCTCCTTCAAATCAACATCCGATTGATCACATGACATCGTGAGCGGTTCGCTTAGCAGCATCGATTGTTCATAATTGCTGCTGTCATCCTCGTTATATGAGGGAATTTGTGAGCGATCTGTCGTGGCGGTTTCTGTCGCGATGCCAAGTGTGATATTGGACTGTTGGAAGTTAGGACTTATAGGCGGTGTGAGGAGCGTCTCTGTCGGGTCTCTCGGGCTAGCCGCGTGCTCGACGGGAGCTGGTGATAATTCGGACGTGTTCAGGGGAGCGATCAATGATGATGGACAAGCGAGTTCTTCCGGTGGTAAAGGATAATCGAAGGAATCTAAACTTTGCGTCCCCGTATCTTCAGGTGCCGGAGGCAGATCTTCCAGAGAGATAGGTACGCTTTCGGGTTCAGGCGAAAGACTTAGCGTCAGAGGCTCATTCGAGAGCTTTTCTGAGAGGGAACACGTCGGAGCGTCTGAAAGCGGCGGTGGCAAGGGATGCATCGATTCCAAATCATCTGAAGGACAGAATGCCGGTGATGTTACGCGATTCTTCGGTGAAAGAGGACAGCTTTTAATCTCTTCGGTTTGCTCAATTTGCGAGGGGGACGTTACAAATGATTCTGCTTCAGTGACCAAACTAGATATCGCGATCGGTTCTTTTTTATCAGTTGATTCTGTGTCTATTACATTCGCTGTGCTTTGAAGCTCGGATACTTGAGAGCTGAATGCGATTAAATCTTCAGGCGAATATGACAGCGTAGCCATTTCATTGATCATCTTTGTTTCGTTTTTCTTGTTACTATTAGACATGCCGACTAATTCGTTTAATGGTTCAACTGCCGCGTCTTCCGGAACGGACATGTCCTCCAATTCTTCCGAGATCAGAGTCTCTTCCGTAAGCAATGCAATATCCGATTCAAGTTCGTTTTCCATTTTCTCCTCATCGGTTTCGGGAATTATCTTAACGGATTCAGTGGTGTCGGTGAGTTCCTCCACACTATCATCTTCTGGAATGATCAGCGCTGGCTTGGCTTCCACCAGAATATCCTCCGAAACCGATAGCGGACCCTCTTCGGAATTTATGAATAATTCGGTCGGCGAAGCCATCGATGTGATTCCTTCTTCTTCCTTGATTTCTTTCGACATATATTTTGCGTAATCGTGATCATATCCGGAAAGTTTTTCGTTCAACTGTTCCACATCGACTATTGCCGACGATTGCTTGAATTCTCTCGATGAACTTTCAATCAGCTCTGTGGAAAGAATTTCCAATGATTCCGCCGTGTCAACAAACATACATTTTTCAACCGAAGGAAGATCCGAGTCTGATAGTTTTTCAATTGATTCCACATGCTGCGTTATTTTATCTGGAGAACTTCCTATATTTTCAGAAGATAAATACTGTTTTAGCGCCGGGCAGACGCTTTTCGTTTCAATCTCAGCCGACGATAATGTTTCAGTCTCGACTTTTTCATTATCTTCGACGTTAGGCGGTACGTTTATCTTCATCGTAACTTTGCAGCTATTTATCTCGTTCTTTATTTGACATTCCGCGTCCGATATAGTTTCGTTCATAACTTTAGCCATTGTAACAACATCGGGAACTTCCTCTATATCTTTACTTGGAGTCTTCTGTGTGCTATTTGCTTCATTTTTCTGGCACTCTGATATCTCTTCCTTCATCGCGACGCTGCTCTCTACCTTCATCTCAATTCCGGCTTCTTTATTAACACAGCTACTCCCTAACATCTTCTCTTTTGCGACATTTTGAGATGTCTCGACTTCGACCTCGGCCTCTACCACCGGCAAGCACTCTACTTCCGCAAGGACAAAAGTCGCTTCCGTCGGGGGCAGGTTGTCGATGGAAGGATCAATTGGCGTCGGGGATGTGATAGCAATGGCGGTGATGGATTCGCTCGCGCGGCTCTCTTGAGAAAGAACGTCCTCGCGGGATGACGGATACGTAACGTCGGGCGGTAGTGCCGACGTCGATTCCTCCTCGTCAACAGCCACGGCAGGCAGTTTGAGCGCCTCGGCCAGGGCCGTGGCGCTCGCCGCGGCCTGCCGAGCCTGCTGCAAGGGCGAGGGATCTATGGGAGTCGGCGGCGGACTGGACGGGGGCAGGGATGGGAGGTCCTCACTGGCTTTCCTCTCAATGATAGACGGCGTCGCGACTGGCTGGACTCGGTAGATGGGGATCTCTACCGGGTCCGCTACGGAGTGACCGCCGGCTGACTGACTGACCTCGACTACTTTTTTCTCGGCCTCGACTTTTTCGACCGCCTCCTCTTTCTTATCCTCGGACGGGACGGGAGTGGGGGCGGAGGGAGTGGATTCCTTTTTCTTTTCCTCGACCGGGCTAGCGGCGGCGGCGACTGCTGCTGCTGCTGGCGACGCCGCGGCAGCCTCTTCCTTCGGCTCAGCCGCGGATGCTGCTACTGGCGCGGCTACCTGCTCGTCCGCCGATGGACTGCTCGCCGCTGATTTCTCCTCCATCGGACTGCTCGCGGTGGCCGTTGCGTTCTCTGCATCTTCGCCACCCTGAGACAATCGAGAGAAGACACCACCTTAGATATTTTGTGCCGCGCAACCAACCCTCACAAGTCAAAACTCTACATCGTTTGTCTTTATCACACAATCTCACAAAAAAAATAGTAACATCTCGTAACGTTACATTTACATTATAGGTAAATACACACAAAATGCATCTGCACTTGTATATTTTTTATAGATGATTTAACAGCATCTCAAATCTATGAGAAATTTATTTATTGGGAAAATTATAAATAATAATTTCACGTAGGAAGAAAATCCACATGTTATCCAATCGTTTGGACAGTCGATCGTTTCGAGTAAAAGATGGGTCCCACGCCACGTGGATGCAGTGGAGAAAAATGTTGGTTCAGTCAAGCGCGATATTATTTTTTTGTTCGTCGCAAGGGGTGGCCGTCGAGATTGCAACGCGCATTCTCTCGAGCCAAGGGTGAGCTCCGAGCGCGACTCAAATGAAACAGGGTAACAGCTTAATGATACGTCGACCTGGAGCGAAGAGAGAGAAAGAACGGTGTGTAAAGAGGCGTTCATACCCCTAGTACATATGAGGGAGGTAAAAAGAGGGTGCGCGGTAGGGGGGTGCCGAGTTACCAACCGTTCTCACCCTTTAGGGAATGTGTCAATCGTGTCACTGTGTCAATGAGCGTTTTTCAGTCTATCCTCTCGGTTCCCCCCCCCCTCACTTTTTTTTTAGACCAAACGGTCGCGACTCTTCGTCAACAACGCAGGAAATAACCTGCGAGATTTATCGCCAAATTTATTGTTGTATAAAGAGAGATTATCGCGTGAGTAACGATATTAGGCACGCCGATGAAAGAAGAGACTTATTTATGTGACGCGGCAAGTGCCATATCGCTATGTGCATAATAGCTGCGTGTTATCAGCTCGGTAACGTAATATGCAGAGATAGATATGAAGAAATGCGCAGCGGGACAAAAGTATCGGCACGTACCGTCGGCACACGCCGATGCTTTGTTACCTCAAGAAATTCTTGGAATATTTGTAACATTCCTAATACAGTAATTGAATACTATTGCAAACCGCTCGATCCATCCTGTAATATATAATATATCATCAAGCTATCGCTTGATCCTCAATCACTTCACTCGTCTATGACGAATATATTTATCACGTGCAAAGATATAAAATGTGTAAATATGTACTTAAATAATCAACGAATATTTATATATATCAGCAAAATTTACGCTAAAAAAATTCCACAGATGGCTAATATATGAATAAGAATTTTGTTTTTGTTGATTTACACGACTATTTCACTCGACGGCTCGTTTGTTTGACTGTCATCATTAGTCTTCGGCTGGCGTGTGCCGAGAAACACTCTCGATAATACCTTTCGGCTTGCGCAACCCAGGCGGCGAGGATAGCCGAGACAAAATCAATTCTTGAAACCTGAGAGGGAAACAGAAACCGGACGTAAGAAACGCGTCGTGCGCTTTATTGTCCCGCGTTCCGTATCGATCGCCGACGCCGCTTCTCGAGTCTCTCGTCGTGGATTTTCCTAAAGGATATAAGCCTCTCCCGCTTAAAGAATTACAACGGTGCCCAACGGAGTGGCACTTAAGAGGCATTTGTTGCGGCTTTTATGTCGGTTGTACTCGGGAATCACGATTTTATTTCCGTTGTAAAGAAAACTCTTCTCTTGTCGTAGGATATTTTCGATGTATAATGTAAGAGTATAACTTGACGTTCCTTCGAGCAAACATCCGCATACATAATCCCTTGTACTCTTATTGCGTAACATTGGACTTTATATCCTTAAAAAAAAAAATAAATAAATAAATAAATAAATAAACATCCTGCGATTATAAAGATTGCAAATCGCAATCCAACTTTCAATATCAACTCGGTGCCAGCTTAAAGAAATCGTGTTTTATTTTTTCCGAGAAATATTTGCGTCTAATAAAACCGATATCACGCGACCCGAAAAAAATCCGCACCAATTTCCTAACTGAAGAAACTTGCTCCACAAATTTTCCACGAAACTTTTCATTCTTCCGCTGCTGTCAGAGTCTTCCGCCGCTGATATTTAACCGCAACGCGTCAGCGTCAGAGTGAAAGCGACCGTAAATGGACGCTAGCCTCGCGAGAATTTGGCCTAATACCAAAAGGTAAAAACGCACGACAAAAACTGGCGAATGGCCAGAATCGTGTAGGGAGCATTGTCCGCGGAGGTGAGGAGGCAAGTGCCGAGGTAATGAACTTCCGGCTGCCCGGCGTCCTCCTCTTACGACGAAATCGATCGAGAAATTGTGGACCCGCTTCTTCCTCATGTATACAATACCGGATTGTTGTTGGCCGACGACCAATTCTGAATAGGTTAACGACAACTACGTATAGAGTGTGTGCCAGAGAAAAATTTGCATACCTATCAGCGATCTTTTTGCGATGGAAAACAATACACCTGATTCTTTCCTAGCAGAGAGATTGAAAATTCGCGATTTTCATTCTTCTAATTTATTTTCGATCTTTTGTAAAAATCAAAAAAGATTACTAGATAAACACAGTACATGTAGATTTTCAAAAATTTGTCTAGCGAGAATTTAACGCATTTGTGTTTTGTTAGATAATCGTTTAAAAAAAAAAAATTTTCGATTTAAGAAATATCGCTCAAGAAAGAACACTTCGTTTAGTTACAGAACGTCCAATGAATGCGTTAGTCGCAAAAGCGAGCAAATAGGGGAAAGTACAATACTTTTCCGGTGCATAATATTCTTGATGCTGAATGATGTTATTACAAGGATATTTCAACGAACCTTCCGACGTTCTCAGCTACTTGAAAGCCGGCCAAGAGAATCAAGTTACTCGCGTATTCCGAGCATTTATTTTTCAATGTCGTTAAAAGATGCAGCAATATACGCCAATTTGCAACAATTTCACCTGAAAGTATACCGTTTATAGCTGCGCCATTAACGTTACGCCAGTTAAACGTGTCCCGCGTTTCCGACAGACGAAAGTGAGTTAATTCTGCACTGACGGACGGCGGCTAAATTTTTAATCGTCCCGTAAAACGTTAACGGTCACGAATGAGCATACAGCCCGCACGACGAACTACGGGGAATGAAACGAGCAAGCACGGAAGAGCCGATGAAGTGCCGTAACTTTTATGCCCTTACCAGCACGCGGAACATTAGAAATGCATTAGCTCTATCGTGAAGACGATCCCTCAATCAATAAACGTTCAACAAATTTTCACCCTCTGATTTTTGATAAAACTTGATAGCTCTGCTATCAAGAGCGAACATTATTTTGATGCGCGAATTTTTATTCTTCATTATTTCCTATGGATCTTTAAAAACCAAGCTTTCTTTTAATATTTATTTAATGTGTACTTTACAAAAATTTATTCTCTAAATTTTTTATTATAATTTTTATATTAGATTTATATTAGATAGGAAATTTTGAAATGTAGATTTTTCAACAAAATCGGAGGGTGAGAATTGAGGAAATTCGTATAGCGTTAACGTTTATAATAATGTGTCATGTTCATCCGAGCATGCGAATTATTCTACTCGTGCCATCATCGTCTACACCCATGACAGCTGGCGTTCGCCAGCACCAAAATCAATTTCCTGTTTGAGAAAAAATTAGTTAGACGCTCGCCGAAACAGTCGTGTTAACAACTGTCACATTCTATCGCTTCGGTACAATTATATCTCGGTAGAAAGATATTCGGAATGCGAATGTCACGGAAGACGGCATTACATTTCGCGAAAACCTCTGTCTCTTGTACCATCGTAAACGTGCTCCTAAACTCGCAACGGTAAACTGCCATTATGTACAATTCTGTGCTTTACGTTTCCTCAGGAACGAGATCTGATGGCCGCAGGACGAAAACGGAGCAGGCAGCAACTACGCAGCGTCGACGCTCCGGAAGTAATCTTGCGTATTTAACGAGCGTGACTTAGACAATAGCTACGCTAATGATTCGCAGGTGTTTCGCGGGAGACTCATTGATGTATCGGCGTGTTCCGCGAACGACATGTTCATCCGACACGCTCCGCATGCGCCCAGATCATCCTCGTCGCTATCATCGTTATTAATATTCTCAAGAAGAGGTAATGTATATATGTGTGTATATATATATATATATATATATATATATATATATATAATA